TGTTGAAGGTCTGGAGTAACCTTTGCAATGCATGCTCCAAGGTTTGGCTCTCAGACCACCAAGTTTCCACCTGCCGCCGGTAATGCTTCTGCGCCGTACCAGCGAGGTGTTGGCCGAGGACATCCACCTTGATATCTTCAGGCCATCCAAAACCGCAGGCGCGTTCCGAGAACGCAACCTGCCGGACAAATTCCTTGCCCCATTCAATGAAACCACTCTCAAGGCCATGGTAGAGCTCCTTTCCATCGAAAGGTTGCAAAGCAAGCTTCCTTTGGCGTCCATCCGGTACACCTTGGTGTACCTGTCCGGGCTGGTGTTGCACCGGACCTGGTACTTGCATACCCGGGTATACTCCCGCGAGCATGGCATGTCCCTGAATTCCAGGCTCGAGACCCCGAGCCATTCCATGGTTGACATTTGCCTGGGCCGGCGCGTCAACCATGTGTTCCCCGGCCAGATCCGGTCGTCGGACACCGAAGTAGGTGGCCGGCGAGACATTCGGTGAACGTTTAGGGGGTGGGGTACGCTCCAAAGCCTGAAATGTTATACCGGCCCCTGAACCGAGAACCGAACCAAAGACGCTCGACTCCGCAGATTCCATGCGTTGGCCTCCAACTTGTTCGCGTTGGGAGGATTCCATCCTGCCCATCCGTTCCGACAAGTCGCCAAGCATGGCGAGCATCTTGTCCAGTGCCGCCGCGGGCACTGCCGACTTTTCTTCTAGTTGGTGGTCCTCGGTCGTTTCTCGACCATCGACCACCGCAGCGGGTGTGGCTCCTTGAGCTGCGCCGGCAACACGATTCTTTGGGCTTATAACCTGTAGAATGATGTGTGTTCGTTGATGCACTTGTTCCAGAAGATGTAGAAGTAAAAGTGAATATATTTAAGCATTAACCTCCCTCGTTCGTGAACACCTACACATGCATGCGAAACGGACTGCAACTATACCGTCTATAGTGCACGTCTATCCCGCTCCGTCCCACCTGTTACGACATCGACAAGACGACATGGTAATATCGTCGCCTCGTCTCATATGTCGCAACATCCTGGTGGTCCGACGTGGCGACATCGTCGCCTCGTCCCATCTGTCAAGATGTCAAACTTGTTAGCCAATCATGTACGATTGTAACTTACCGTGTCACGGGGTATTTGTCTTGACCCTCGCGACTTGTCAGAAACGATTTCTTCTTATATCATCTGCTTGATCGGTGACGATGTCCCGGCACTTTCACGGATTAGAATCAAGCGTCTGGGCGTTTGGCTCGGACCTCACGGGAATTCCTTAGCATGCCTGGGATGTGTTTTTAAATAATCTAGACCCAAGCGCTGATTGTCGAAAGCTCAAGCCGCAATCCCAGTATTTTGATCACGGTGGCTTTTTGTAGTATCTACAACAATTGATTCTATGTTTAAGCTCCTCCGCCGCATGGGCAACTCATCTTTGACTCAGAACATACACACAGCAGCGCCAATAATCTGTTTTGACGGTCGATTCGACGGTTCAGTGGGTCAACTTACTAGTCTGATATGGGATAAGACAGGCAACGTTTCCGGCACGCAAAGTCAATATGAGCCTATGCCTTCCATTGATCCGATGAATTGCCGTCGATGCACATGCTGCCTCACGAAAGATTCCCGGGAATTCTATACCTTCTAAATTTTGACGGGGAATATCGGGTATATACATGTCCGGGGGGATCTGGATCCGGCTTTCGCCAACTCTACATTCATACTTATGCCGCTTGCGTCATGTTGATATCGACCGTGGCTCACGATTCCACCGTTATTAATAACAATATGCGGAATATTGGGAGCTTGTGCACGGTCTTCCACGCGCGAAGGGCAGCGGCTATTCACCTCTGCATGTCATCGGCGACTGTGCGCTAGTGCTTTCGCAACTACAAGCTTTACACACATCCCCGCTCAAGCCACATCTAGTGCGATTATATTTCGAATTACACACTATCGCTCACTGGATCGATGTCGACAGCTGGGATAAACATATTCTCACCTTCAGAGAAACGGCGGATAGACTGGCGAATTTTGCAATGAACACCGAAAATCATATTCAAGTGCATACTACCTGCGACCCATGGAACTGTTTAAGAGATTACAAATTACATCTACAATGATGTAAACCACTGGATGAAGGTCTGTTGCATCGACAAACATGTAATACAAAGCTCCGTTGTGACTTTGCGGAATTATATCATTTCGAGACTAGAGGCCGCGCGTAGGTGCTCTGCTGTCAGGGCCTGAATGATACTAAGTCATTAAATAAGTCTACTTCTGACTAACTTAGTTGCCCAGCGACAGCATATTGTAGGTTGCACTCTTAATAAAAAATAAATTACCTTCTCACTCGCTGAACCTACTACTTAGAATGTAACAGGGCACGCTTACCAGATAACTGGTAAGACCTTGTGTTGACTAAACACAAGGCTGCGTACTCCCGACGTCACGTACACGTGGCGTGAGGAATCGCGAGGAAGTAAACATATTGAGGGAAGCTCTGTATAAGGGGAAACTAGAACAGTAATAATATGATTAATTTTCTTTTGATAAACTGTTTTTGTCTTAGTCTAACTATTTTAAACTACAATATCCTATGTGGGTTGCTTGCTAGCCACCCATTATGCGCGTCCAGCAGCAATTGGTGGTTGATATGGTTGATGTACCGTGTACATCAACCTTAAAGTGGAGCACCAAAGAATGTTACCCTCGAGGGCAACATTCAGTCAACATCACCTCGTCTCGAGTGGTGTTGATTGAATATTATCTAATTCGATAATATTCAAAAATTGATACATTTGTATCAATTTTTATGTAACGGGCTCACCCCGTTACGATGACACCCACAGCTCACATTTCCATTATGACCACAGTTAGCACTACATTTTCTTGGATCAAGAACGAAGATCTCGAAAGAGACAATACCGGCGTAGTGCGAATACAATTTGTCTATATGGTCATGCAGATGGTATACGGCATATTTAGATTACGCACCAATCGTGCCAGCAAATCGTGTCTCGACATACTTGGTCATACAACAACATACCAAGTACTGGCGAAAAGGGCTGTGCTCCGACCAGATGCTCACGTGCGACGAAGTTTTGGCTGATACGGTTCATGTTTGACATCGCACTTACTGCTGCATCCATGGATTGCGTAACACAGCTACGCTTCCATGTATGCAGTTGTAAAAAGAGAGCAAGTCTGCAGCTAGTGAGTGCATCATCACATCCTACTTGAGCTGATGGAAAGTCACGCGAAAGCTGTCGATGAGGTCGCCAGGAGTCTTTGTACATACTTTTGCACTTGATGTATAACAGTGCAATACCAACTACCGTCTAAAACTCGTCGGACAGTCTACAATGGGACCGCCAATGGTTCTTACTGTGGCAGCATGGGTAAATGAAAAGGAAGATCACGATAGCAAAGTAACTACAGTCTAATATATGCTGAAACGTCACACAAACGTTGGCCGCATCATACTATATCGTGCCCGAGGAGTCGGCTGTGATCACTACGTCAAATTCTCATGAGATAAAGCTTTTAGCATCTCTCGATCTTTCTGACCGTGATTCGAAACGCTCTTGCTCCTAGTCTGTCGACGTCTGAGACCCGTACAATGTTAACAACGAGTCCGTGGCTAACTTGTGAATGTTGACCATCTTCTTAGCGGCTCCAAATCACTTGTTGTGGCTACCGGCGACTTGACATACCTCATGGTGTGAGTAGCAATCCGACCAACAGATGGTGTTTTCTATGTGCTCCCTGCTGCCATGCACTTGCCGATTATAGCACAACTGTTTGTAAGGACCATGCAAGCAGCTTGTACATTGGACCAGGAGAAGTCAAGTCAAAAGACCACCCTGGCGGGGCGCAGGTTTTTTGTCCATTCACTCTCTGCTACCATACAGGCATGCAATGAGCCGCATTCTACGAACAGATCTCGCAATGTATCGCTCCAAGTCTAGCAACCTTTACTAGTGTCGCGAATGTTGGTGAAAAAAGAGCTCCGATGTTGCGTCACCGCGTCTCTGGTGCTATTTGCATCCCCGTCTGAGGTAGTACATATCGTACTGTCGTCCAGCCACCTCATTGGTGTTACGGCAGCATAAAGTGACACCTAGAACGACAGCACTAGTCTTGTGGCCATGCAAAATGTGCCGCGCGGTCGTTCCGCTCAGCTCGATTTGTACCGGTTGAACACATATACGCATTCAACATTGCCTAGCCCCTTTTGGCGCCACCCAATTTACGTTCGCATTGCAGCAGAAGCTATGACAATGCTATGCAATCCGTAGCAATGCGCGTGGTGATGCCTAGCGATTGACTACACGTCTTTCGGTCTGTTCAGCGACCAGAGAGCCTACCATGTGATCTGCAAACACGGCCGACTGCAATCGACGATGCGGAACCCTGTGGAGACACACCGGTGAGCTCCTCCTTCGTTCTCGTTCGAATCGAATAGAGCACAGGCACGGGTCTGTTCACCCGGTGTGGATGTTTTGCACCCGGCCACAATGTAAACTGGGGAGCTAAGTGCCATATGCTTTCTCGTCACGTTGCAGTCGCTGGTAAACCGTTTCAATTGCATGTATTGCGAGTATCCGATAAGAAACGGCATCTCCACATGTCGTTAACCTGCCGAATCCGATTGCAAGATCGTGGCTGGAACGACCGCAACTGTAAATTCAAGCCTGCACGAACCACGAGGGCTATCCCATATGGATAACATAGATCATGTCAAGATGGTCATATATTGTTGCTCACCACCTCTTGCAGACCGTTTGCCCCTATCAACACATGCACAAGCACCACCTTTCCTGTACTTTGTATCTAATCGCTGCGATACGCTTCCATTGCACAAAGCTTAGCTGCTCAGGTAGCTCATTTTGCATTCGACGCTGTACCTCGAAGCAAAGCATTCTCTGATCAGACATCCATCCTACCAAAATCACCGATTGGCAATACGTATTCTGTGCTTCTCTCGAATGTTCATTGGCAACAAGAGTATTGCCTTGCTCCTCGCGGTAGCGGCTGTCTTTACTGGCACAGACGCAAAGGACGAAGCTGCTGAATTTGGCGGATTTCCAGGTATGGGCGGCATGGGAGGCGGATTTCCCGGTATGGGCGGCGGACTTCCTGGTATGGGAGGCATGAAAGGTGGACTTCCTGGTATGGGTGGCATGGGAGGTATGGGCGGTGCTAAACCTCCTGGAATGGGCGGCATGGGCGGCATGGGCGGCGGACTTCCTGGCATGGGCGGTATGGGAGGTATGGGCGGTGCTAAACCTCCTGGCATGGGCGGCATGGGCGGCGGACTTCCTGGTATGGGCGGTATGGGAGGTATGGGCGGTGCTAAATCTCCTGGCATGGGCGGCATGGGCGGCGGACTTCCTGGCATGGGCGGTATGGGAGGAATGGGCGGTGCCAAACCTCCTGGCATGGGCGGCATGGGCGGCGGACTTCCTGGCATGGGCGGAATGGGGGGAATGGGCGGTGCCAAACCTCCTGGCATGGGCGGCATGGGAGGTGGATTTCCTGGCGTAGGTGGTGGCGCTGGAGGCGTCGGTACTTCTGGTGGAGGCGGCGGCAAGTCGGTATCAGGAATGGGCGGTGGAACGGGCGGTACAAGCAGTATGTACTCCGGCACAGGAGGTGCAGGACCTAGCGGCGGTCCTAGCTACACGATGCCTGCTAGTACCACCGGCGGGGCAGGGCCAGGGACAGTACATCCACTTGCTCCAAGCACCGGAGCCGGGTTTTCGAATGGCGCAGGAGCTGGGCCTCCTCCGGTTGTTTCGGGTGGCGCAGGAGCTGGGCCTCCTCCGGTCGTTTCGGGCAATGGCGGACCAGTGACAAGCGGTGGTGCAGGCCAGGGCGGACCTTCCGTATATGGCAACCCAGCCACTGGAACTGGGACTGCTGGGCAGGGTGCCGCTGGAGACGCTTCAAATGTGAAGCAGTATCGCCGTCTTCGATCCGAGTAAGAACGTGCGTGTTTGGTTTTTCTTGTTCGTTTGTTTGCCAGTAGGTCATGTGTCACCGTTCATGCATTTGTCTTTCGTAGCGAATGTAAACAAAGCCGTCGCTCATTGCACTTAAATACCACCGTGTCGTAATACACATGTTTATTCATTTCAAGGAACATAAAAACCACCGTTTATATACGGAAATAAATATGCCTCATTTAATCACGAAAATATATAAATTGCCATACGTCCTAGAATATTCAAGTTAATGTGGTGCGCATAAACCCACTCTTCCTTGGTCATTTTCGTTTGGGAATTGCTATTTCCACCATACTTTTGCTGTTTCCACCACACTTTTGGCAAGCCTCACCATACTTTTAGGGCCCTGATAGCTGGACTTTACCCTATTGATACATGAGCCACACATCCAGCGTAACCACCTTATCTGACCAATCAGAAGCAACGGACGCGTAATGCGGTGTGATGCTTATCTAATCATCAACACTGAACCCAATTCAACCTCACCTCTAGCAGCTATCTTCTAATTAGTGGTAATTTTGGTTGTTAGGCAACCCGCGACGCAACCAAATAATTTGATACATAGCGCTTCGATGCCGTTGGCACCACAGCTGCACGGTCTTTCACGTTGCTGGGCACAGCAAGAAATAGAAAGGTGTGTCAAGCTATCAGGGCCCTATCAACGGTCACTCTTTATTTTGCACTGCCAGGCAGCATGAGCCTGTTGCGCCCTGAGATGCTGCAGGTGGTCGCATAGAGCCTCGGGCGCGACGACGTGGGCAAAGACTGCATTGCTGAGCTGATGACGGAGGTAGATCTGCGAGTGCGGGAAGTCGTTCAGGACGCGCTTAAGTTCCAGCGGCACTCGTGACGGCCGAAACTGGAACCCACACACATCAATTAGGCGCTCCAAGTGCGGGCTTTAGAGTTACCCTATCTCTATAATATAGCGCCACCAGGCGGTCTTAATAAGGCACGCTATTGACTTACACGAGTCGTTCGTTTCATGAACATTCTAGAGTTTGTATGGCTTTGCAGCCCCTGGCACCGTCAAGTACAAGCCGTGCAAAGACAGCGAGTCGCTCTTTTTCGAAGTGGAGGGAGAGCTGGAGCTGTCGATGATGCTGATATGCTCCGCTAAGTCTGATCCGATTGCAACCGGTGCTCAATGTGCACTGACTGGCCGTCAATGGCGTGCAACCCCTTATACCTGAGAACGAGTCCGTGGAGGACGATTCGACGTGCTACACGTCCATCAAGGACGAAGCGTTTGTCAACAATGTCGACAAAAGCCTCGAGTGAAGCACGTGCTAACCGAGGAAATGCAATTGTACTACACTTAGGTGACAGAGGCCATTAAGGGTGACGACTTTGAGCTGCAATGTGCAGCTTTCTCTATCTCACCCAAGACCCGGGCATCAACCGGCTGTTGCCTTATGTTCACGCTTCATTTACAAGGAAGTGAAGCACAGCAATCACTACTTATCACTGCTGCTGATTTACTCATGCAAACTTGCCGCTGTTTGGTGACGAACCAGAATCTACATGTCGAATTCTACGTACGTGGTCGTTCTCGGACACGCGTTCTGGATGATTCTAACCCTGTTATCGTCGTCATGTGTGGTGATGAATAAATGTAGCTACATCAAATGATTCCTGCTATTCTGACCCGCGTGCTGGGTCAACAGTCTGCGAAAATTCAGCGGACAATTACTGGGCTTCGCGCAAGTACGCGGTCAAAACGGTGGCTCAAATTTGCGAGCGCTACGGTGAGAAATACGTCAATATCCAGGCCCGCGTACCGAAAACATACCACAAAGCAATCACAGGTCCAGTGTGTTTGTTCTCGACACAATTTGGTGCCCTTAATGGTTTCTGCCCCACGTTTTTCTGCGTTAATATGCGGGCATGACTGACCGTTTGGACGTTTGTTCTGGCCAGGTATTCTGTTTTTGGGCTCTTAGTGATGGATAGTATGCTATTTCTTAATCTAGAAGGAAAACTATCGAAGATTGGGGCCAGCAGTCTCGTCGTCCAATCCTGACCTTATTGAAATACTTGAGGCACAGAATTGTCTCGGCATCCTCGTGGTAAGCAACGTTTTGTTGCAGCGGTGCTCGTTGCATGATCGAACTAATGTGTACTGTTTGACATCATACAATGCACAGCACGCTTCGGGAGCCTACTTTTTGATGTCTAAGGCTATGGATCGCGGCGTGTCGCCATCGCTGTCGTCGTCTACTCTAGGTGGTATCATAACTCTTCTATACGACGCATTTGGAGAGCGCCTTTTGCCGTATATTCGGTCAGGCCGGGCATTAAACATGCTTGACATGTGCATCCAGAAGACAAGCGTCGCCTATCTAAAAATGGATGTTTTGTGTTGGAAACATCTCGAGATATCATGAATGTACTGATGATGATGATGATGATGATGATTATGATGTCAAACTAATTCTTTGCGATCGAGTATTGGCTTTCAAGGCAGGGTCGCTGGTCGTCAGAATAGTGCAGAGGCACCAGCTATCTGCGTATACAAGCCAGAAAGAACCAAGATCGATTGACTTGCGATGCTCCTTTGGTTTGCTCTTGCCAAACAAAATGTGACGCACTTGGGACACTCTGCTGGATGGTGTTGACACATACTTTGGACGCCTTTGCAGTACACTGAAATAGACACAAAGTATTTGAATGAGTCAAATTGGCATCGGATCGGCAATTAAAGACGGGCATGACTAAGCCTATCTCTATTCCCACCCACTAGTCACATGGTTCGAAAACAGCTTGCAGGGATCAGTCAGGCTGGTGAAGCTTGACATGTCGCTAGAGCTTACAGATGGCTGCGCTTTAGCAGTCAGAAAAAACATTCTTCCGCAGCTAATCTTTTTCAGTGGTTGCACACTCAATATGCTGTGAGAGCTTCGCCAAACATGGCCAGTAATTGCTGTTCGGACAACGAAACGTCGTATACTAAGTCGATATACACACTCTCGATATCGGAAGAAGTTCAGTGCAAGTATCTGATGCACGAATTTAGTTACTATGTACTCCTGTTATGCTGCCTCGTTTTTAAAGCTCACCGAGGCGTTTCTACTTGCACTCAGAATTTACACTCATGATTCGGAACCTTGCTAGCTGGACCACACTCTTTAGCATCGAATTTGCTTCCACATAATAGTGTTAAAAAGACGTTACACCGCATAACGCTCTCGTTGCTTCTGATTGGTCAGATAAGGGGGTTACGCTTGATGTGTGGTTCACATATCAATAGGGTAAGGTATAGCTATCAGGACCCTAAAACTTTGGTGGAGCTTGCTAAAAGTGTGGTGGAAATAGCAAAAGTGTGGTGAAAATGCCATTCCCTTTCGATTTCCCATTTTACGGCCGTGAGCAACCCCCGACCTGTTCGGGAAGCCGCGGAGAGGGTTCTGCCGCGGTCGTGCTGCGCTTGCAACCACGTGTTGCAGGCGCAGACGCAGACGCGAGATATAAGTACGTAAACGCGTCTTCGTATCATCAGTCGCTGCCGTAAACGCAGTCAGTCGGGGCTAATTTGTTGATACTAATGCTTTTACTTTTGTTATTGTTGTTTAGATTGCTATAATTATTGCTACTGCTGTTGTTGCTGCTGTTGTTGCTGCTGTTGTTGCTGCTGTTGTTGTTGTAGGTGCTGCGGTTGCGGTTGTTGTTTCAGTATCTATTGCTGATGATGCTACGACTGTTGCTTCTGCTGTTGTTTTTGTAGGTGCTGCGGTTGCTAGTAATGTTGTTCTGCTTGTGGGATCGCATTTCTTTTCCTACTTTTCAGTTAGAATACTGTAAAACGCTTCATCATATCAATAGACTCCAATGAATCTATTTTTTCTTGTTATGATTTATTGATGACTTCAATGTTTGCAGACTTCTTCGTCTGCAGGTATATTTCAGGAACGAAATTGTGATGATGCTCAAGCGTATTCGTCGAAGTTTTTGTCAGTTAATTAAACAACAGCGTAGTAAAATCATTATCTGTCCTGATTCACTCGAGTATTCTAGGACGTAGGGCATTTTTTAATTTTCTTTATTTATATCTTGTACAACCTAAATTTTGTTCTTCTAATTACTTGGTGCGTTGTACTACCCCCTTATAATTATCACACACGAGTCGAGTTTTGCCAAGAAATAAAGATCGTGAGCAGTATGATACGTTTGTGATATACACGTCAGCGAAAGAGCGAAAGGTCGCGGAAGGATACAACATCTATTTCCGCTAGTGCCACGACCCGCTATACTAGTCCGAACGAACAATATGTCTGTATGTTGGTTCTTAGGTAGTCACCCTTGCCCTATATACATATCGTATCTTCTCTCAGATTACAAACAGAGCGAATAACAAGCATCCCTGCTTGAATTAGTCATATTTAGACGGGGTGGACCTGCTTCCAAATGTTATCATATGTGGGATGTGATGATAAGAAGGAACATTACCTTCATCGTTCCTCTTAAAATATCACAAGACACAGTGATATTTTTACAGTGAACTAAGGGCCTACTCGTTATGTTAAAATGTGGAATGACATCAGCACAACCATCAATGCTCAACGCGCGCAATGGGTGGTGAGTAGACGTCGCAATACATGTTTTTCTATTGATACAATTAAGTTTGGGCTAATTGATAGGGCAGAGATTGGAGGACATGCTCACATATAATACAATTTACTTTTACCACTAGTCATTGACTTAGTATTCAGCCTTCTTTTGAACTGTGATTGCGAGGTGATAGGTCATCGAACATCGCTGCTATCAGTCAGAATTTGCTTCGTACTGTTCAATAGTTTGCGACTGCCAATTCCCATACAGTCGGGGTAAATACGGAGTGGCTAATGAGCTTGCTGTATATGATGAGGTAAAGGCCCTAGAAACCCTTATTTAACTTGATAATCTATGCAACTGCCTGATGGCGCAAGCAATATTGAAGGTAAATGGGTATCGAGCAATAACCGCGACGACAGTGGAGACAT